TTCGGTTGCTATGCGTAATTCTGTACTGCTTATTTACTACTTCCTTTCACTGTGCTCTGTTTCATGTTTTCATGATTGTCCTCCATCCAACCTGCCCGACTCCTGCTTCTAACCTTTCTTCAGACCGTTCACTGGGTTGCGTTTGGGTACTCCCTGCCAGTTGGTGAGTACCCAAACGACAGCCTTCCTGATGCATGCAGTCAAGGCAGAGAGTCAAGTACTCTGCAGGTGAGTGCTCACATCTTCGAGAACAAAACTCTCCGCTCTATCTCTATGTTTCAGAAGAGATACAGCATGAGAGAGAAAAGGTTTAGCGAACTGAGTGAGTGATATGAAGTGGTCACGCCTATGAAGAGTTTGGGAGCAGCTGGAGTACAGAAGTTGCTAGATGCTAAAATAAGTGAGTCTTAAGAGCTAGAGAATGGGCCGTATTTCATAAGAGCTTGAATTTGCACTCAGCAGTGCTATTTCTATTAGATATCTCCATGCATAATCTTGTAAAATCAAATTTGATTTAGTTTTGCAGTGATGAAACTGATTATGTTTACTTTGAACATGTTATTGTTCAAAATTATCTGTTTAAATCTTGGAACTTTGCTACCATGCTCCACAAAGCACAGGTGGGGGCAAAACTTGCAACCATCTCTGTCTTGCTTCACCGGACATTTGCATAGTTGCCAACAAGAGCAGCTGCGCTTCCTCAGGAGCCCCCTGAGAACATCCCTTATTTTCTCCCTCATCTTAAATGTCATTCTAAGAATCTTCCACCAGCATCAACCTTGCAGCGAAGCAGACTACACAGGGTTTTCACGGAGCTCATCTGTGTGTCTCCTTTCTTAGCAATCGCAAAAAGCCGAGCTTTGTGCCACATGCCCTCCATTCCCCCATTAGTAGATGTTTCAGATCTGCCAAAGTTGCCATGTTTACAAAAGCTTTTCTCTATGTCTTGGATAAATTTCCATTCTCAATAGCCTTTTAGGTTTCCCTTCATAAAAGTTGCCTCCCCCCTATGTGAAGAAACACCTTATTTGATGAATATTACTGCTCCCCCAGTGCCCTGCTCTTGCTGACACACGTCTAACTTTGCTGAAATCACAATGTTTCCACAGCACCATTTCTTGTAATTATTTTGATTAGCTTCATCACATTACACCACCAGCAATCTCGTCCCCATACTGGTAGCCTTTACTTATGTGGATATTTCCAGGGAAAGATTAGATAAAATCAAATAAATAAAGGCTTGCGTGCTTAATTTCAATATTATAATTACCTTCAAAACAACATCATAGACCTATCATACAATAGGGCAGCTTATTATTAACACTAATTTCTGGGGCTTGGGAATAGATACTATTTGGATAGAAATTAAATGGGCATTTGCATTTTATTAAGGAGTGTAATTTACTTCAAATACCCATCATACTATTTTTGTAAACAGATAAAGTTTTTACCGTCTGTTTCCAAATCTCAATTTGACGCTTGTGGGTCCTTTTCTGTTCTCTAACCACAGAAAAAAAACCCAACCCTAGAGTCCCAAGCTATGAACATGCTATATTTATGTTCGTAAGACAGTACCTGGTGTTTTGGTAGTGCAATTTCATCCATAGATCCAAAAACACTTTAGTAAGCTGAACAGGACTCCTACAGAGAATCAGAGAACACTAAAATGACTAGCCTAAGATCACACAGAAAACTAACGGCAGAGATGTGAACAGAATGGATCCAAAGTGACTGAGACATGCTTTAAATTACTGTATATTTTCTGAAAGAAAAGATGAGATATTCCAGCCTAAAAGGTAAATTCTCTAGAGGAAAGCTATTTCAGTAAACTAGAAAAAGGAAATCAAGTTGTCAAATATAAATACAAAATACTATAATTAGTGTGACAATATAATTAGATCACTGGGTGGAAAGAGGTTCTTAATTCACAGCTTGTTTAAATACATGTCACAACAATAGGTTCCTGTAAGCTACTAATGTGCAATTAAAGTTCCTGTTATTTACCAGGAAAAACAAACTGGTGAAAAGAAGAAATAATAATCACTTTTGCAGGTAACTATTCATAGTTCAATGGAAAGAAAAAGCCCCGTTGCCTTTTTATGCACTTTGTGATTTTCATAATTCTAATTTTGCCAGTATGCAACTCTCTCAGAAAATATTTCATGCCAGAGATCCACAGACTACAGTCACAAATGCTTGTCAGTAATATTACCACGCAGCTAAACCAAAAAAGCATGGCTTTTATTTATGTTTAAAAACGTTGTCTAAACTTTTTCATAGCAATGCATAGTAACTGCAAGCATCAGTATGACTGCTCGTGTTTTCCAAATACATAAAACTCATGCAAATTCCTAATTAGGAAAAACGTATTTTAATAGTTATCTTTCCCTCTCTTAAAAAACAACAACAACAAAAAACCAAACAAAAAACCCCAAAACAAAACAAACAAAAAAAACCCAAACAAAAAAAAACTCAAACTGTATTTTTTTATCTATATATATATACAACACTTAGGAAAAAAAAAACAAACCCAAACAACATGAAAACCAAATCCCAGCCAAAGGAAGAAAAGTGAAGTTACAATGCCTGGGCTGATGCTATATCTTAGCCTGTAATGCATTTTCAAGATGCGATTATGAACCAGCACTAAGAGAAGCTGTAACAGAACCAGTGACTGAAACAGTAGTGACATGAACAGGTGCAGTTATAACAAAACTAATAAAGTGAGATGAGCTTAAATCTTTCAGATAGCAAGGAATGAAGGTGCTAAGCAAAATGGATATGTTTATCTTTATTTTGGGCTGTCCACTCCTCTTTTCCTCATCTTTTATAGCATATTGCTTCCCATGGTAATGAGGTATGATAGCTACACTAAGTTTAAGATACATAGAACTTGGCACCGGATCAAAGCACATATATTAAAACCCAGACCACTACCTTAGTCTTCAGTTTCCTCAAAGTACACAGCAGTTCCTCCCTTCCCCCAGCCCCCAGTATTACTAAGGTATTTATTTACCATCTGGAGCATTAAGGCTGCATTCACACATATAAAGAATAATGCCTGTAAGGATTTTTTGTTTTGTTTTCGCAGAGCCATTAATCATGCTCATCTGCATTTCAGGGTAATTGGACTGACTTCTTTGGGTCTTCATCTTCAGACCATGACAGCAGTCTTAAAACTTAACGGAAAGATTGTCTATAAACCGATAATGCCAGTGTTCCTCCTCCAGTGTCGATCAAGATGATGAGGTGCCACGAACACCCATTCATGTTGCTGTGGTTTACGAAGCTACAGGCTTCCAGCAGCTTGGTTCAACTCCTCTGCCAAAGACCCTCCCTCACTACATTATCACGACAACTGAATGACAAAGTGCTCCTCTGTGGCTTGGTGCCAACTTGGGCAGCTTTGCTCAAAGGAGGGCTGTAACAAACTGTTGAGTTTCCAAAAATCTTTTAAACAGCCTTATTGCATGAATGTGCGTCCAACTTCTGGATCAGAGCTGACCAAACACTGTGACAGGCATGAGTCAAGGTTGTATCCCATCCTCTTCCAACAAAAGCAGAAATGTGGTACCCAGCTGGGTGAGAAAAGAGCACCCCACCAGACCAGAACTACAGAGAGCTGTAGCAGAAGGGAAGAAGCACTGAGATCAGTGGCCAGCAGGTCGAGGGAGGTCATCCTCCCCCTTTACTCTGCCCTGGTGAGGCCGCATCTGGAGTACTGCATCCAGTTTTGTATTTTCCAGTACTGTATTTTCTCCCTTCCTCCTTTTTCCTCCTCTTCTCCACTCCCAAGCTTCTAGCCTGCTTGGTTTTGCTCCCCAAGACCTTTGATCCAGCTCACTTGCAGCAATGTAAATTTTAGATACTCCAAATAAAATCACTAAGCTCCACGAAGTACAGTGGGCACTAAAAATCACAATCCCACCGCAACTGAAAGAAGTGTTATGCCTGTGATATGGAGTACATTTCATTTTCTCCCTGTTTGTGTCATCACTCAGCTCATTTCACCTAAGAACTTCGCAAACCTAAGGAAGAGCTAGCAAGAGAAAAGCTGTTTAATCCATAACCTTCAACAACGGCAAGGAAGAGCAGGAGGACTGCTCTAACAGTCTGGGATAGGAAAGCCATGTTTGCTTTCCATTGCTCCAGGGTATTCCGGTTTGGCTCCCAGGCTATGGTTTATCAGCACTGGTCAAAGGCCACTGTTTCTCTAGTAGCTGTTTCTCTAGTAGCCCGCACAACTGGAAGCTGTTTGTCCTTCCTCCAGCTTTACACCCAGTATAACCTCCCACATCCTCCCTTTTCCCCTTTGCTACTTTCACATTTCTTAGTCACCTTCTTAAAAGGCCCATGAAAATATTATGCTGCACTTCACTACATTTAGTTAACTCTAAAATAATAATAATAAAAAATCCTAAAAGATTTGAAGGTATTTTTAAGAGAATTTAAATATAGGACTCTTTTCATCTAGCTATCACTGCAGTAATATAAATGAAGCAAATTAATTTTAATGCTCCAAGGCACTGATTCTGTGTCACTGTCACTGACAGGATCCAACTAGACTTTATGAGATGGCATTTGACTTTATGGAACTGAGCACTATGCACGCATTTACAATTTTACAGGGACTTTAAGCTGTCATGCTGAAAAATGTTTATAAAACATTAATCAAAAAATGCCTCTTTAATACAATGCATTGTCTGAAAGATGTTAGAAGGCAC